AAAGGCTAGTTTCATTGTTAACTAGGAAAGTTGTGTCTGTAAAGGCTAGTTTCATTGATAACTTGGAAAGTTGTGTCTGTAAAGGCTAGTTTCATTGTTAACTAGGAAAGTTGTGTCTGTAAAGGCTAGTTTCATTGTTAACTAGGAAAGTTGTATCTGTAAAGGTTAGTTTCATTGTTAACTAGGAAAGTTGTGTCTGTAAAGGTTAGTTTCATTGTTAACTAGGAAAATTTTGTCAGTTAGAGATAATTTTACTATTAACTACAAATGTTTTTATGTCAATAAGAGTTAGTTTCAATGTTAACTATGAAAGTTTATGTCAGTAAGAGGTAGTTTCATTGTCAACTAGAAATATTTTATGTCAGTAAAAGGTAGTTTCATTGTCAACTAGAAATATTTTATGTCAGTAAGAGGTAGTTTCATTGTTAACTAGGAATGTTTTTTGTCTAATAAATGGTTTCTCTGGTATATTGAAACACAGTGTCAGTAATTTGATAAACGGTCGAATATTTAGAGAAATGTTTATAGCAGTATAAAGTAAGTGGAATCTTAGAGGTCAGTGTAAGGGTAAGAGTATGTTGTAATGTAACGATCTATCACATCTTAAACTTATCCTTCAAACGTTCGTAACATTTTTAGATTAGTGTCTTATTTTTAACTACCTGGCAACTAAAGAAGCAAGTTATGTATTTTGTCTTATTATATATATTTTAACATCTTAGGGCTCTGTTACTCCGAGCTTGCCACACGCTTTCCGCTAGGTGGCTCTGCCTACGTATACACTTACGCTACCACAGGAGAGTTTTGTGCTTTTGTTATTGGTTGGAGCATGGTGTTAGAATACACACTTGGGGCCGCTCTAGCGGCTAAAACGTGGAGTCAGTATGTTGATGTCGTAACGAATGGAAGTCTTTCTCGTGCGATGAATGACTGGATAGGGGTCCTCAGTGTTCCAGGTTTTGATACCAGTCCGGACATTCCAGCTGTCTTAGTGATCCTTATTGTCACAGTAGGTGTTGTTGGGAAAGTAAAAGTAAGTTTTCTAATTATCAGGATAAGTGTTGTAGAGAATGTTCATACCGACAGTGTCGGTAACATCAGTAAAAGTAAGTTTTCTAACTATTAGGATAAGTGTTGTAGAAAGTGTTCATACCGACAGTGTCGGTAACATCAGTAAAAGTAAGTTTTCTAACTATCATGATAAGTGTTGTGG